TAAAGTTGCAAGAATTTCCTAACCCTGATTACATAAGGCATTACATTTGTGCAACACCAGTGGTACACGTTATAGACGCTTGGCATCTTATAAGTCTGACTACTTAAAGATTATACGAGAACTCTCCTACCCCAACACAATCAACATACTCTCAAGAGACTTTAATTGAGATAAGCTAGAGCTTAACGATATTAAGTTTTACTATTTACTTTTATTCTTTACACTTTACAAGAGCTGTGTTCGAGAGATTCAAAGTTTGGTATGGTCATATCCTTAGGAACCATCTATTTGAGGGAGCCCCCGTTACACTGGTACTACCCAGGACTACTCTGGGAGCCCTTCTGGATAGCTCAGACTAACTGTCTCTTTGGTTTGTTTTGCTCCATTCTTTTTAGAAAAGGTACTTGACCTTCTCACCTTGGCCCCCTTATATATCCTGTGAACAGCTTCCGGTCGGACCAATAGCAGCAATGTATGCAGTGTTAGGGAGATGTCTTCATAGACTCCATTTAATTTGTAAGACGGCAACTCCACCCATTTTAGCCCATGATGCCTGGGGCGAACCCTGGAGCTGCAGGTACCTCTTAGGAATAACTCTGCCAAGTTACAGCATGTTCGGAGCACTATAGCTCCTCCTGTAGTCTTCTAATCAGTTTGCAAGTGAGTGCTTGTCAATTATAATTATGTAATAAACAATCCTAACATTTCCTGGAATACCTCTAAGAACTTTTCTGACAGAAGGTAGGGTAATAGTGTTCCAAAGGTAGGGTAAATATGTCTATAGTGACATGAAACCACTTTCCATGGTAGGGTAATGTGACTCTCCTAGACATGATAAACTCATCCGACCTTCTGACCTATTCATAGGCCGGAGCAGACATAGTCACGTTACTTCTGCTACTTAGGTACACCTATTCCTTAAGTACCTTCTGTGCTTCGGGATATCCAGACCATTGGATATCCCACGGACATGCATCAGCATGCCCGCCTAGTCTACTATCTAACCTTTTAGTCTTATATATAGGCGTAGACATAGGTTGCCATAGCTCTATAACTTAGGATCATTACAATACCAATAAAGATAGTATTCTTACTTGGCTTAATTACTTTCACTTTATTATGTATTATTCTTCTTTATAGTTTTATCATCTACTATCAGAATCACTTTACTATCAAATACTATGAGAATCATGTTATACTATTTCAGTGTCTCTCCTACCTTATTCATGTACTACAACCTCTAGATGTAGGGGTTTTTTGTTTCTGGAAATACTACCATAATAACACAATTCACCATGCTCTGCACTTTCTTAATATAGAGTATACTATCTCCTCCTTCTTCTGGAACCTAAACTCAATTTGTAAGCAAACCTTTTAGCAATATACTATTAAGAATTTTTTCACAGATTCTAGTATGTTTCCTGTTTCTTACCAGAGAGTAGTGAATAAAATGTGGCTTTATATTACTAATAAAAGGAAAAATGTCTGCCAACAAAGTCAGAGCTCTGAGTATTACTCTGCTGCTGTGAAGAAAGGAAACCAAGAATTGGTTGAAGAAATTGATAAGATTGATCTTCCTACTTCTCCTACAAGTTATTTCAATTGTCAGTAAGGTCTAGGGGAATGGGTGGATCAAGCAGAAATATTTAGTCCCATCTCAAAGGAGAGATTCCAAGAATGGGCCCATAAAACTAAAATTCTTCTGGCAAAGACTCAGCTACAGCAAAATATCTGTCATAACATTCAGTCATGCATTAAAGAACCGGAAATCTATAAAAGCAATTCCTACCACATTATCTAAATAGAAGGTATTATCACTGCTAAGTCAGTAAGGCAAAGGAAAAGAGAGAAGATGGAAAAGGAAAAGGCAGTGGCAATAAAAAAAAGCTCCTAGAAATATCCAAATTGCTATCAATAAGGTAAAGTCAGCATTGAATCACCATAGTATTGAGGTAAGAAAGGCTGAGCAGGAAAGGAAAAAACAAGTAAGCGCAATTCAAACAACCAGGAGTATTGTTCCTCTTGAGCTCTTAGTACCAATTTTGAACCCTGAAAAGAATCCAACTACTGAGGATCTGGAGTCACTCAAAGCACCACCTTACCTGTTGGAAGCTTTGTTGGCATTAGAGCCAACAGCTAATAATATGAATAATATTAAATCCCCAATTGCTGGATATGAAAAATGATGGTGAAGAGAAGGAGATTCAAATTAAGGTAAGAGAAATAGATGAGCAGGAACATGCAGAGAAGAGGGAGCCTGGAAACAGTAGGGCTGAGGATGAGAGTGATGATTGGACAGAAGAATTGGATTCTGAATCTTTAGGTCAATCATAAGGGGGTGTTTGGCCCCCCATGATTCTGATTTGAAAACGTGATTTGACTTGAAATCATAATTTCAAATCAGGTGGTGTTTGGCATGCCCACATTGTAATCTGATTTCAAATCTGATTCTGATTTAGAATTTGTGTGCTTGATTTGGGGTTTTGTTGCATGATAATTCTTTCACTAATAGGTTAGGGTAAATTGATAGATTATAACAATCTACTAGAGAGGGTTATTATTTTTCCATACAAATATTATAAGAGTATTTAATACAAAGTTACTATCATAGCTGTTACTGCTGATGATATCATCTTCAATAATTCAAACTGTGTCAGAATATCTTTGGATTGTTCTTCTATTTAGATGTTTCTCTATATGATAACATTTGATTAGTATATCTTAGAGTATAAAATAATCAAATCCTTGTGCTACTACAAGGGGAGCATAATATTTTTCACATACTAATACTAAATTTGCCATAACCTCTTCTTGTAATCTGAGTGGTTTGCAGTGCTTAAAGATGGACACAGATTGCTACAGATTACTTTCATTGATTCTACAAAAGTTTGGATTAAAGAAATCAATTTATAAATGTATATAATAAATAAGTTACACATATTTAATAAAATTCATTATTAGATTTATTAATAATATATTATTACATATTTTATAAGTCAAATGTCCCTTGCTACATGCATTCTTAAACCAAGTAGTTATAGTTGTTATGAAGATTGAAACCTAATCAAAATCAAATCAGGGGATGTTTAGTGCGTCCTGATCTCAAATCGTGATTTCAAATAAATCTGATTTAGGTTTTAAAAATCTGATTTCAAATTGCCAAGACCTGATCTCAAATCAGAATCATGGACGGGCCAAACACCCCCTAACTCTATTATCATAAACGCGGATTTTGTTACCTTTACTTAACACTTGGTATCTTATATGTAAATACAGATATCTGGTTAATAACTAGTAGTATAAAAAGCTATTATAATTGAATATATTAAAAATAAAAATAAAAAAAGGGGGGGGGGGTTTGTAGAGCATCACACTCGCTTCCATGTCACACTTGCTTCCATGTCACACTTGCTTCCATGTCACAATTGCTTCCACCGACTATGAGCGACAGCAAAATAGGAGGGGAACCGGCTATTATGCCTCTATAGTTCAAGTCCAGTCTGATAATGATAATATTCAGTATACACTTTTTTGCTCATTGAATCGTATTCTTTTCTCCGGATTACCTTCTGAAATATTATAGAAATCAACTATTAAATTCAAAAAAAACAGGATACTTGCTTTTCAATAAACTGCGAAGAACTGAAAAGTAAGGCTCCAGCATATTTTTATAGGAAAAATGTACCAAACCACCGAGGCTTTTGTTTGACTATTCTACAATACCGGCCTATCCCGACATATACAAGAACATGAGGACTTTTGATGGCGCTGGCTTTTGGACAACACTACTTTAGAATTTACAACTTGCGCGAAGACACCTCGTGCCAAGACGTCCTAATTACTAAATACACGAGCTCTGGTGCAATTGGTAAAGATCAAGTCCTGTGCCAATTGACCGTGCTCAGACCACTCTTCAAAAACCCTTTCTAAGCGGGTAGATAGGCCCTTGATGTGTGGATGGCTGTGGGACAGCGCTATCTGAGTACTGCACCTAGCAGATGCCGGATCCTACTTCTTAGATCAGGGGAAAGGTGTATTCAGCCAGAAAAAACAAGGTCAGATAGAGGTCGTTATCGTGGGCACAATAAGGAGATCATGACTCTGAATCCAATTTTTGGTGAGGGAAGCTGATGAATCTCAGACCATATTTCACTGAGACATTTGTCGAAGCTCTGTATGCTACTGCCGAGACCTTAATTCCACAACCGGATAAAGCGGTCGAAAATCGCTACAGCACCGTATACTAAACCATAACAGGTCCAGCAGAGTAGATTAGCACAACCACAAATACCAGTTAATAAGATCCAGGTACTCAGCTGCCCCAAACCTCCATCCTGTCCGGAAGAGACTATTGCTTCTTGTGCTGATTTCGGAGGCCTGCACTCGATACGGGATAGTGGATTTAAGGAGCTTGTAGGGTACACCCATTGTTAAGGGGGGAACGAGACCACCGGTGTGTGGGTAAACACGGGATGTCATAAAACTCAACATACGCACCCGGATAACTTGAGCATTTCCGGTGCGATATATTACATAACCTATTGGCTAATATGTTGACAGCGCCTCTAATCCAACCTCACATCAAGCATCAAGTCAAAAGCTAGAAACTACAGCGAGTGACATCTCATGAATAACAAATAGCCCTCTTTGATGGCTCAACCCCACCCCTCGGATAACCCGGTCTTTTTCCCCTCATCGGAAATAATGGAAAATAAAATAAAGCAAAATAAAAGAGAAAGGAAGACCCGTACCATATTGCACCAATATCAAGAAACTTAATCAGGCAAGCAAACATGACAGAAGGAAAGAAATCCAGCCACTCAAGATACCGTACTATACATTCCCCAGTTAAAAGTTCCCTTGTAATTTTATGTTTAAAAAGTCACCCCCTCCCACCCTGTTAACTCCAGATGTTTTGGAAGAATAAAGGGTATCCATCTCCTCACCTCTCAAGTCATAGAGCAATGAAGGCAAAGGTACGCAAGGACACACCCCACTAGTCAGCCGGTCCATCCCATGTATCCGACGTCCCCACCATCGCTCCCGGAAACTCCGGCGTGGTCTTCGGGCGCATGGCCGAGAGGCGCTTCGGCGGAGGCTCCGGCATTGCTGGCCTCTCCGCCCTCTTGGAACGGAGGTGCCGGCGGCGCCAGTGGATGGTCCTCCAGACCCCACCAGTTCCATTGACTAAAGATGGTGTAATCACTATCCCCGTCGCTCTCCTCATCCGTGCTGTCATCCTCCCCTTCATAGTCAGACTCGGACTCATCCACCCAGACTTGGCTCCTGTCCATTTCCATGTCCACGCCCCCGACAGCACAGCGGAGATCGCGGGCACTGAGGTACGAGACATCGGAAGCGATGAGAACGGGATCGGAGGCGTTTTCTGGATAGGTAACGTCGCGCCATTTGATCCAGAGGCCGTTCCAGGCAGGAAACTCATCTTCGGAACTGGATAGTGAAGCTTCGAGGGTAGCGTGGCATCATTAGTTGGGGGAAGCGGAAGGGAGTTGAAAGGAGGGCAGGTAACTCACAAGTACCCTCGGCACGCCAAACCCCGACAAAGGATCTCTCTTCCAAATCCCACACAGCGGTTTTCCATCCTGCTGTCACGCCAAGGTAGCGGCCGCAACCGGACAAGACTATGTATTTGTCCAAGTCGCCCCAGCCTTGTGGGACTGGAATACGCGACGCTGGCCTGGTCATGTGGGCTTCGCCTTTGATGTCACCACGGAAAGGTCCGGCAGCTAGCATGACGTCCTGAGCGGGATCAGGCCCACTACCGAGATCCCAGACAAACACGTTATCATACCCATAGCGTCTCCTCGCGCCTGTATGAGCCCAATAACCATCTTCACCCGTAAGTCGAGCAGTGCTCCCAAGACCTCCGACACTAGCAACAAGAATACCATCGCCAAGAGCAAAAGAGCACCACATGTAACACTGGCGAATGATATCGCGCTCTTCTTCCGCAAGATTAAGTATCTTAACAGTATCTCCAGTTATTAAGCTTAAGAGATGAAATTCCATTACAGCACGGTACCTCTCGGGGCCAGAGCCAGCAGCAGGCATGATGTGGCGTCGTGTAGAATAGGCACAAACGGAAGAATTGATTGCAAGGCCGTCATTATCAAGCCAGTATTCGGCAGAGGAAACGGAGGGCTTAACAACCATCCTACGTTGCCATTTAGCACATGAGGCAGGTGTAGACGGCGAAGGCTTCGCAGATGAGTTGGAGCCTTTGGGCACCCGCCCGGCGAAACAGCTGACAGTCGAAGCGCGGCGTCCGCTGTTGTCATCGCAAACAATGAGATAAGCCCCGCAACTCCTGAATTCCCAGCACACTTTGACGTCCCCCGCATTATCATCCCACATTTCATCAGGCTCAAGGGTAGTGGCAGAATCAAGACTGAGATCCCTAATGCTCCCAGGCATTTTCCATTCCATATTGACGACGACCTCGCTCTTGTCCGAACGTACCATCGCGAGTCGTTCCACTGCCGCAACTTCCACTTGTTTTTTGACAAGCCTTGGAACTAATCTCAGGTTTGCATCCGAATGTAAAAGGCTCTTCCCAAACCCAACAAGTCCTGCGTCTGCCACTTTATCCATGGCCCAGAGAATCTTCTCAGATGTTACCCACGATCCCGGAGGGAGATCTCGCCCACTCTGATCTTTCGGCTCATGCCCCATTTTCGGATCCTGCGCTCCAAATGCTCTATATATGCTCGCATGGATGCTCCTTCCCGGGGGACCCCATCTCTGAGAATTAATAAATTTATCATGATCGACGGGCCTGATGAATGGACTTTTAACCCGCTCCTGCTCGGCCGGTTCTACCAGCCCTGGCGGCACAGGTGCCTCGACCGCTCTCAATGATTTAGAGCCCTCCGCTTCTCCTTCCATTCTCCGGCGTGCTTGCGATTCGGCGGTAAATGGGGATCCAGGGCGATCCGGGGGTGCCCCGCCAAAAACAGCTGCCCGTTGAACGGTAATTGTATTACGATCGCGCGACTCGGGAAAACCTCTAGGGTCGTCGGAAAACAGTATCCAACTCGCAGCCTCCCCCTGGCGAGCGCTGGTATCGCTTCCTGGGGGAAGAGAGTCGCTCCAGCCGCAGGTCTTAACACCAACATAAGCGATATTATAAAAGGTCCGGGAGGCCTCGGTGCACGAGTGAACGAAATCAATTATTCGCACGACTTTCCGGCCCTCAGGATCCACCGATAGAGGCGGCAGCGCACCCGCCTTCATTTCATTCCTGGGAAGCGTAGCTGTACAAAAAGCATCCTCAATCCCCGAGTCACAGTTCCCGGGGTTAGGTCCATATAAGGTCGTTGGGCACACTTCCGGGACATGCGTAGCAGATGCGCGATGTACATTGGGGGGAAACCTCTGACGGGACAGGAACAGGTTGCGAGCCAAAGCCTTGTAGGTTTGCTTCTGGGAAGAAGGGGTGATGGGAGCGGGTGGTACGCGGGTTCCCGAGAGTGTAGATGGAGGGAAGAGTGACGGATCATAGGATAAAAGCGAAAAGGCAGCAGCTTTATAGACATGCCTAAAGACCAGATGAGCATATCAAGCCGGCTTAAAGTTCGGAAGGGGATTATGTGCAAATACTTGTCTAGCGCAGGGTCCTCAATGACGCCGTAGAAACCCCTGCATACCAACAAACACGACCTCAAAGCGGGCGGACCACCGGTCAAACCGACGAAAATCAAAATGCGAACCAGAAGCTCAGGAGGTAAACTCGAGATTGGCGGTTGTTGGTCCATCTCCATGTTTGCTCCACTCTGCTCGCAAGTTGTCGGCAGAGAGGATGGCTCACACGGCTGGTGGGCCAAGGCGGTAGAAGTACCCTCAACTCCGGGGCCACGAATCAATGCGGGGTCATCGGAGGGCGACATATCGAGGAGTGGTATCAGGGGGAAGAAGCAGAAAAAAGAATTTTCTGAGTGGGGGCCAGACAGGGAACGATGGGAATATCAAGAGAGTGGTACAAGGGAACGCAGAGCCGGCCCAACAAGAGCGCAGCGGGAGCCGAGCGAGTTCTGCAGCTCGACGTCGAGATAAGACAAAGGCAGACCAAACGATGGAGGTAGAAATTGGTGATGGGGTGGGGAAGGAGCAGATTAGGCGATACCGTACGACAGTGATATGACGGTGGTGGTGCCGGCAACGTAGCGTATCACACGAGTGCTCGTAGGGTGTCGTTAGGGCAGCCGCGTTTAGTGACTTTTCCGACCCCCTCCCTTTCTTACCCCCATTCCCGGGCAGTTTAGCGGGGAAAGATGGAGGGCAAGTCCTCTTCCCCTTCACCCTTACCACCATTAGACCATTCACCCATCTCTATTTTCACCGCCCCACTCGTGTGGTTTCTGCACGTGTATTCTGGTACGGTACGGTACAATTATCCGCGAGGGAGGGGGTTGAGGTTCGGCGGGCCAATCCACCGACCGATATCTCCCAGAGAGCCCACAGGTTAAAGGGCGCTTCAGCGGGCAGATATGAATAGGGTGACGAAAGCTGCAGAGAAGGGCGGGAAACCCACTCATGCATGCTCCCCGCAGCGACCAGATTCACCATGGTGCGGGCGTCACTCTCGCCACCGCCAATTCGAATCATCCCGATACAGCACAGTATCGGCATGTCTCTGCTGCCTCCCCTTGGCTCAAGGGCAGCCGGCGGAAACAGCGGACAATCAGCAAGCCGAAGGGGGAAACAATGGGGAGGAGGCACGAGGAGGTTGTAATAAACAAACTACCGGTACAAGTATCATTGCATACAATGCCAAGAATTGCCCCTCCGTCTCGCCGCAACCTACGTGTCTCTCTTTGTCCGAGTCGGCCGCTGCATGTCTCCCTCCCCCTCTCCCCCTGTATGATACGGTACCGGTGGGTTATCTGCTGCACTGTCTGCCCGTATTTCCTCAGGACTTTACCCTGCTATGCTTTGCCCGAGGGCACCGTACCAGTATTATACTGTACAGCACCACCCATCCCCGCCGTACAACCCCCTCCCTGCTCTGCGTCCCACTTTACCCTTTAGCTTGACCCGTTTGCCCCCTTCCTCAACTTTATGATCCATCCCAATCATTACAAACAATGGTAGTGCACGAACGGCTCCAAGCCGAACTCAATGGCTTTAACACACATCCCACCCATTCGCTGTCCCCCGGAAATAATGGCAGCGAGCAACGAAACAATGCCGACACCGCTGTGCACGAGTGGAGGTCTAATGATAATAATACGATAATAGCACAACGCTTCCCGCCCACAACACTGCGGGACATCTCACAATTCCGCTTCGCTGGGTATTGTGCAAGTGCCGATAAGCCCATCCAACGAGATTCATCCTGTATGATGTAACAATACTCCTATCCGAGACCTTTCCCCTCAGCGCTAATATTATACTCGTACATATCTTGTGTATGTTTCCTCTTCCATCCCTTCCCGCCTGCCGCCTCGTCTCTCTCCCCTGCCTCCCTCTCCCACCCGTGTTTCTTCCCCCCGCTCTTGATAACTCCACGTGACTCGCCTCCTTGCCCTCTTTATCCTACCCGGTGCCTGGTTGGTGGAACCAGACCATACCAACCCGTTCCCGTCGTACTCGGCATCTTCAGGCACACGTGCATGCCGATATCCTGTGGAGCGTTATTTCCTCGGAGAAAACTCTAACTCTGCAACCCTGCCGTGCGAGTAGACTACCGGTAGCTTGACCCATCGACACTCGGGACCGCCTACTGTAGCTGGGATACCGGTATCATGATAAATATCACAATTACCAAAACCGCCAGCCATGCTCTCGAGTGCCTGCCTCCGTTTTGAAGAGTAGGATATTGGTGCGTTTTACCGTGAGAGTTGGTGGTTCAGGGATAGAGTAATCCACGCTGCCCTACCGCACATTGCCCTACTGGACAAGGTTCACATCCATAACATCACCTGCCGCCGCCACTAATTTCCTCGAAAGGGCAACACGACAAGCTCATGTCACATTGTGGTACAAGATATCACGAGCTGGCTGGAACCCCGTTCCCCTGCTCCTGGTCTCTGTTATCTGTGTTTGCGCTGCATCTTGTCCCGCTCTTCAACCGGTAGTGCTGACAAGCTAGTCCCCACCCCCAAGGGTTGGGATAGACGATACAATATTTAGTGTTCCCCACTGCCTCTCTCTCCTTCTTTTTTTTTCTTTTTTTTTCTTTTTTTTTCGAAAATTGCCATGTGCTGCTGAGAGTTCATCAATGCACCGAACCCATTCCCCGAGATAAGGCGAGTGCCATAAAAAGCTCATTCGGTAGCAGCCGCCAAATAGTGCCCCTATGATGGTGTAATACGAGGTGAAATGCATGTTTTGGACATCTTTTTTTCCTACCCGACTGCTTTGGCTCTGGCTTGATCTCGCCCTGACATTGCTTTTATCCCGCCAGGGATAATGCCTACCACCTTCTGAGGGGGCTGCCTTCACGGCCCAATACAAGCTACATCCCAAGCTTCCTTCTTCCAGAATCAAAGTGTGATGCATTCCTGTTTCAGTGATACATTTTCTCTCTAACCATCGAATTCCGCATTCGAGTGAGACTGCGTGACCAGTGGCTGAAATCCCTGGTCTCACTGCAGATTCAAAGCAAGCAATCCCCTGTCAATGCCTCCCGATGGGTAAAGGGAAGAACTTTTCTTACCCCGCGGGGCCCGCTCTTTACAAATCTCCGTGGCCAGCCGCATTTACACGTTTCACGTCATTGGTGTATGAATATCGGTTTATTTGTTTATTTACTCTTGCGCAACGTCAGTTGACTTCTGGTCGTGGGGCATTGCGCACCCCTTTTGGATTTCTAGAAGGCTGGAGGTTCGTTGTGCGATGGTCGAGTTCATATCATTGAACATCACCGGCGCGGGGTGTCGGACTACATTGGTCTTAAGGTGATTCGGGGGATGTTTTCTAATCTGCTCCTAGAGTCTAGACGTGTCTCCCGTCCTAACACACAGAGGTCTGATCCGTGGGGATGGTAGTATTGCTGCTATCATGTATTGCTTGATACTAGTGCGCGCTGCCTCTCCTTTTCCAACCGGATTGCCCTCTAACCACGTCTTAGTCCAATCAGACCTTTCGCGTGTTAAAATGGGGGTACGGTTCGCCCCACCCTATTTTGGTGGATCTCGGGATCTGCATTCCGCGAAGAAACAATTCCGAGAAATTTAGCGCTGCCGATATGTTAACTCGGCTCAATCTGGAATCCTCAACTCGCACGTCTCCACTAACCTAAGATCCGCTTGCAGCAAGTAGTACTCATTTCACTTCTACTCAACTTTTATCCGTTAGTGCATTTGCTATTACGTCTTCCGGCAGAGCACAAATAGAAATCTGAGCACAGTTTAAAGGCTTTTATTTTGTGTTGATCAACCATCTGCCGTCTCGTATACAACCGCACTCCATTGTATTGGAATTTTGTCCAATACCAGTACAACACCCAGCACTACTGGTTCCAGAGTGTGTGATAAGCGTAGTGTGTAGCGCACCTCCGGGGAGCGCAGTACAAGTACAGGACAAATGCTCCTTCCACTTCTAGCAGGGTCCCCAACACAGCGGTTTTGCTTGCCGGTTTATGTGGTACGCGAACGTCACGGTACTACTTCTTGTATGTCCTAGTCTAGAGACTCTATAAACCGGCAATCAGATTCTAGTTGATCAACTTTCCATTTCTATACACATGAAAGCTCTGCAGCCTAGGGGGCGGGGGTGGGAAAAATACAGCTATGGGGAGGAAAAAAGAAAAATATCCAGCAATGTATGTCTGTCTACCTACCCGCATCTTGCAACAAGTTTCTGGAAATACGGCTTGCGTTATATGGCTGCTCTGCTAGCAAAAAAACGTGTCTCGTTCTCAGATGCTTCATGCTGGGTACAAGTACCGTAAATATCTACTCGTTTGTGAGGTCCTTCGTCCCGTCCCCTACCCTCAGTGAGACCTTTTTCTATATTTTCTCATGAAAACCCTATCCACAACTATATTCTAACAAAGCGCGACTGTAGTTGGCTCCTAATTATCTGGGCTTTAGATAATATCAGCCAAACCTCCTGACCGGAAAACATCACCAACCCTCACTCGTGGGTCACGTGAGGAGTTGGAATAATGTTTTTCCGAACCAGAATGGGACTGGAAAAATGAGCCTTTTTGGCCAGGGGAAAACAACAAGGGGCAAAAGTGTGTCGCCACGTGCCGCATCCATGACCGAAAATAACTCCATGGGGCGCGTATGGAAACCGAAATGTGTATTTCCTGGGATATCGCAGACGCCGGCCAATTGAGTAAATTAGAAGCAGGGTGTCGGTATCGGTGCTACAAGTACTTCTAGTACCGGTACAGTACGGCATTTTAGTTGTCGTGCACCCATCCGAAACAAGGCCGGAGAAATTAGAGACCTTTTTCTTTTTCCTTCCCCGCTGTCGTTCGTTGTCCATTCCGATCTCGCTGCCAGGCAACCCCTCACTGAAG